CTTGGGAAGTTATGGACCAAGCTTTTCAGGGTCAGCGGCACCGATTGGGACCAGCCCCCTCTTGGCACGATGTTGCGGGACCTGCAAGTGGTGTATGGAACGTGCTCCACCAACTTGGTTGGCGAGCACAGTCGGCTTTCCAGTGGACTACCGCTCAAGGAGTTCAGCTAGATCTCAGAGTTGACCCACCTGACTGGGTCCGCACGCTGGCGAGGAGGTCTTTCGTCAACTACAAGTGCGGGGAGTGGGCAACGCGCTCGGACCATGCACCCGAGACGGAGGCGCCCGCACGAAAAGGATGTGGGTATTGGTTCGCTCCTCTCCAGCTTCTGCTTACCACCCGTGACCAAGTGCGCAGCTGAAGACTATCAGCGAGAGCGCGGGCAGCGCTTCGCAGCACCACCATTGGAGGCCAATGGTCACGGGCGGGACTGCACGAGCACGGCTAAGCGGAGTCCGACGAGCGCATGTACTGCCAAGACTGCAAGGGCACGCTTCATCATAGGCTTTGGTGCTGTCCCAACTTGGCTGAGGAACGGACGCTCGCAGTCGATCAAGACATCAGGGATGAGGCACGCCATGCTCCTGTGAATGACATGCTGTTCACGCGAGGCCTGCTGGACCGAGATCAGCTCCCAGTGGTGCCTCCACCTGCTGCCGAGGAGATCTGGTACTCCGCCTACGGGGGTCAGCTCCATCAGATCACGGGCGAGGTCTACACCGACGGAGCGGGACGCACGCACATAGGGTGGCCTGAAGGTGCTCGCGCAGGATGGGGACTGGCCCTCATGGACGACCAGCGCTTGAAAGGCCTAGCGTTTGGTCCTCTACCTGGAGCTCAGCAGTCGGTACCCAGAGCGGAGCTCTACGCCATCATCATGACGCTCAGGAACGGCATTCTTCCTCTCCACATACACACCGATTGTATGATGTTGACCGAGGGGGTCAACAATGGTAAGCAGTGGTGCCTGCACCCTCGACGAGCACACGTCGATCTGTGGCGGCTTCTCCGGCACGCGCTTGAGGACCATGGAGGCATCAGCGGCATCCTCGCCATCGAGTACGTCAAGAGCCACCAGACCCAGGAGACAGCAGGCACCACCAGGGCAAGAAGGGCAATGCTTACGCCGATGTGGCGGCGAAGAAGGGGTTGGCCAAGCACGACATACCACCCGCGGCGCGTGCTCGGCATCGAGAACTCCTGGATCGAGTTCGCCAGATTGCGGCGTGGATTGGCAACGCGCAGGAGATGGTGGAGATGAGGCCCGACAGGATGCCGACGGTCTCGAGGCTGGCTCGACGACAACAGCGAATCCGACGGGGTCGTGCACGGCGCGAACGGCGCCCTCCTGAGCCGCTCTTGCGCCATCAGAGGCGCCGCGCACCTGAGCGCGCATTGTGCGGCTGGAAATGCGCCCATTGTCCGCGCTTCGCGCGATCCGACGCTGGCAAGAAGCGCATGATGGCGCAGATTTGCTCTGTTGATCTCCCCCAGCCGAGGAGTGTCGACCCTCAGCCCACGTCAGCCCCCAGAGAGCCTGAGCCCCATTGGTGCAAACGCCCTGGGGGCCCCTCGGAGGCCTCGTCGGGTAAGGTAGCGTGCCCTAGGCTGGAAGTCAAGCCAGCCTCTGATGACCCTGAGGGGTCCCCGCCCCCTCTTTCTCCTCCTCCTCCTCTGGGCCTCGAGGACCCTCCTCGTCCTCCTCCGCCTCCTCCTCCTCCTCCCTGTGAGGTGGTCCAGGCGCCCAGGAGCCAGGCCAGGCCGATAGGGGAGCTGGCGGAGCCTTTCGTGAGGCAGGTCAAGCCCAGGGTTCGGTTCGAGTCGCGTCCCCAGGGGGTGGTCCGTGCGGCGGCGTCCGCCCTCGACGGCTCGAAGAAGCGCCCTCGTCTGGCGGCCCCCAGTAGGGCCACCGCGACCCCTCCCAGCACGGTGCTCCCTTCGGATGGGGATGCGTTCGCGCCGCCCGAGGCGGCCAGAGGGCACATCCTGTACAGGGCGGGGGAGATCGTAGGGTGCACGAGGTGCGGCTCGTTCTCGGCGAAGGCCGCTCGCTCTGACCTGTATGGCACCTGCGACCCGCAGGCTCTCGTGACCAACCCACAGCGGAGGCAACGCCAAGATTACTTCGCTTCGGGCCGTCATCCCAGTGACGGCCGAAAGCACCCCATCCCCTTGCCCCGTAGGCTCTTGGTCTCTGATCCTGCGGTACAGTGGCTGGGATTGCACCTGAATTTATCCCAATCGTTTTTGTCCAACTCGTTGATTTCATTCGCCTCGAGGGGCTGGTGTTCGATCGTCCCTCCTGGCCTTGCTGTTTCGCCTGGTCATGGGTTTCCTGTCTAGTGTGGTGGAGTTCCCTCGCTGCCGTGAAGCTTCGGCTGGGCTCTCGCGTGCTGCTCCATCGCTGTTCTGTGATTGATGTCGCCTCTCGTCTGTCCCATCGCTCTTTTTAATTCCCGAATCTGACCTCGGCGCGTCTCTCCATGTGCTCGCTGCTCCTCCTCCCCCTCCTCCTCCCCCTCCTCCTCCTCCCCCTCGAGACCCTCGAGCGAGGGCCTCGCTCTGGGAGGGAGCCGCCCTTCGCCCGTGGGCGGCTGCTGCATAAGTGGCCTTTCGGAGTGTGCAGGGAGGCCCGGGCGAGGGCCTCCTTCTGGAGAGCTCGGGGGCGGAAAAGAGGGGGGTGATGACTAGGGGGGGGGGGGGCCTAGTCATCACCCTTCTATAGTAACAGACCCACGCTGGAAACCAAGGAGGGCCCCCCCCCTCTATAGTAACAGAGCCCCCCCCCCCTCTGGGTCTGTTACTATAGAGCGCCCCCCCCTCTATAGTAACAGACCCACGCTGGAAACCAAGGGGGGGGGAAATCCTGGCGGGGGCAATGATATTTCCCCATCTGTCATGGCGCCTCTTCTCATTTCATGACGTCCGTGCCCCCCCCGCTGGGCCGCGCGTATGCCGCCGGTCATGATTTGCACCCCCCCCTCTTGGACACCCCCCTCTCGGCCGCTCCCGAAGAGCAGGGGTGGGCCCAACCGGTGTTTTGGCGACTTCGTGGGCCGTTTTCGTTTCGATTTCGTTACGCGATGAAGGCGGACTCGAGACAAAACGAACAACAAAACGAAAACACGAAACACAGAACGAAGACGAAGAACAAGACGAAGACGAACGGCAAAACGCTTTGGGGTGAACGAAAGCAAAACGAAAACGAGAGCACCGTTTAGGTGCAGCCCTGCTGCAAGGGAGTCGCCCTTCACCCGTGCAGAGCTGCTGCACAGCGGCCTCTCGGAGCGTGCAGCAAGGCTCGGGCGAGAGCCCCGCTCGCAGAAGAGCCGCCCTCCGTCCTGCTGGTTTTTTAAGTCGGGACCGTCCCTCTACGGTAGGTCTGCGTCGTGTCGACCAGCGGCGACCCCAGCGCGGACGTTCAAGGTTGAACGCCGCCGGCGACCCAGAATCGATCGATGTTGAACGATCGGACGTTGCGGCAACGGCCGATCGTTCAAGGTTGAACGATCCCTGCGGTGTCAAATCCAACGCCGGGGTCTACACGACACGAACCTGCCGTACAGGAGCAGTATTCAAAAAGCAGTCACAAAAATAGTCTGGGGACGATGTCTTGCATATTTTTGCGCATTTGGGGGGTCTTTTGGGGCTATTCTTTTGTTTCCGTCCAAGATCCCCTTGTGGGAGGACGTGCCCGACTGAAGGTCAGTTGTTGCGGGATGGCATAGTGAACGGCGCGCGGCGCTGATGCGAGAGCTCCCTTTTGACAGGGAACCGCTCTCCATGCCGGTAGCTGGTGCAGGCTTCCAGGACGAATGCGCACGGCGCTAGGGCGAGCGCTCCATTTTGCAAACGACCCCCTTCCGTCCTTGTAGCTGTTTGGAAGTCTCCGGCGAAACCCTGCCAACACTTCTGGGGGCGCGACCAGGAGGAGGTATCCATGTTGAGGAGGGGTGGAGGACGGAAGAGGTCGGAAAAGGACGCAGGACGACTTGACGCCTCGAGCGGCTGGTCTCGGGAAAGGATGGAGGACGGTCGACAGAGAACGGAGGACGAGGAGGAGGAGGGGGGGAGGAGTCGGATGAGAGAGGGCTCGGAGGAGGAGGGAAGAAAGGGGGAGAGGACAGTTGAGGGATGATGAGGTGGATAAGGGCGGGGGCGCAGAGGTGGAGAAGCATCTAGCACGGATTTATTTTTCCGACGAGTCAGGAGCTAGCGAACCGACTAGAGCTCGAGCAAGGACGCACTACCTTCCCCCAGGCCGTCCATAGGCGACAAGGCGGGGCGACAAGTGACAAGTCAAACTGGCTTGCCAGTGGCGGGACGTCTACCTTCCTACAAGCGCCTGCGACGGCCAACCTTCACTCGGATCCCCTTCTTTGCAACGGCTGGAAGGCATGAGCCACCTGGAGCCAGCGTACTGGGCACACCGACTGCAGTAGGTCACGCTCGTGAGGCACATTATTTCATGCTCCAACTGGCGGGCTCGGTCTATCCTCCCTCCGACGCTGTCTTCCAGCACTCAGGAGGGGAAACAACACACAGACACAATTATTCGTCGACTCCCTAGAACATATGGGAAAATATGGGAAGTGGGGGGGGGAAGACACCAACCCAGAAAATATAGGGAAATATGGGGAATCCTGTTATTTGTGTGTATTTCTTAGTGTGTCCCAGGGCCCAATCAATCACCCTGGGGGCCCTCTTCTCCCCCTCCTGGCGCTGGGGGGATCAGGGGGGCAGGAGGGGTGGGGTGGCAGAGAAGGAGGAGAGGAAGAGGAGGAGGAATAATAATACGAAGAGGATCGAGAAGGAGGACAATGAGGTTGGATGAGGTGATGGAGGTGGAGGAGGAGGAGAAGGAGGAGGAGGAGGAGGAGGAGGGGGAGGGATGAAGTGGAGGAGGAGGAGGACGACGAGGAGGAGGAGGACGAGGAGGAGGAGGAGCAGGAGGGGACGGTGGAGGAGGCAGAGGTGGGTGGGAGGTCGTCGGAGACAGGTGCCGTTCAACAAGCTTCACCCGGCGGAGCGGGCGGAGGTCGAGGGGTCGCGCCCGAGGGAGCATTACCCGGAGCTGCGCCGGGCGCGGGACCTGTCGCTGAACGTGCGCGACATCGAGGGGGCGCAGCCGAAGAAGATGGGCCACTACGTCAGGTCAGGGCTCGTGTCGAGCCTCAGCGTGGGAGCAGGGACGGATACCGCTGATTGTCCTGGAGAGCCCTCGTCGCCACGGCTGGATCCTCTTCGAAATTCTGGTCAGATTGCACCCCAGGAGAGGTGCTGGGGGCAGACGTATCGGTAACTTTTGCCTCCCCAGATCCTGTCAATCCGATTCGATATCGATCCTGGCCCAGCTGGGTCCGATTCGAGTCCTGTATTCCGACGGACGGTCCGGTGCGGCCCGATGTTTGCGTGGCGTTGTTGCGAACCCCATTGGAGTGGCCGATCCGACTCGGCTGCGACTCTGCGCGGATGCGGCCCGACCCGGTCCGATTCCCCGATCCGATGCTGGCTCCTGCTGCAGGTACAACCGGCGTGGCGAGGAGATCAACCCGGTGCTCGCAAGCCTAGAGATTGACACCAACACCAATATCGGCGGTGTGCCTCCACCGAGGGAAGAAAATCCCGATCTCGGTGATGGTGGTACTATTCTGGCTTCCAAGGTGACCGAACTATTGCCACCAACACCGAAATCTGGGATCATCTTCCCCCTGTGGAGCAAACCCTTCTTGTGTTGGTGTTGGTGCCCATTTCCAGGCCTCCAAGGTTCAGGAGGGAAAGAAACACACAGACACAATTAATCGTCGATCCCAAGGAAAATATGCAAAAATATGGGAAGTGGGGGGGAAGACAGAAACCCAGAACATATGGGAAAATATGTGGAATCATCTTATTTGTTTGTATTGATTTCTGTGTCCTGGGGCCCCTTCAAAGGTGCAGCCCTACTACGCCACCCTGCCGTCGGAGAACGCGGCCGCCCTGGAGCCGCCAGCCCCAGCGAGCGGGCGCCTTTGCTCCATGGACGCGTCCGACGTGGCGGGCGCCAGGCCAGCGCCGGCGCTGCCCCCCCGGGCTGCGGTCACCGACGTCATGAGGCTCGCCCCAGGGATGAGCATCGTTTAGCTTGTCATCCCCACCGGGCTATGGTAGCTCGGCCACACCATGCCGCTACCCCAGTTGGGGGCAGGCTCCTCGAAGCCCGAAGGGAGCAGCCTACGTCCACATCTAGGGGGGAAAATCGACCGGTGCGGCCCAGGCCGCGCCAGTGGGGATAGGGACGGGTTGAACGATGCTCAAGGGAGGGATTCGAAGAGGGAAAATTGCATAATCATTGCAAAAAAAATCCCTGGATTGCAAAACAACCCTGGGTTTTTTTGCAATCCTTTGCAACAAATTGTTTGCAATCCTTCGTTTTTTTTGCAATCTGTCGGAGCACGACGCAGAGTACTCGGATCGGCGCTGGGACCCGCCCGGCGGTGCCTCTGGCGCCGCCGGCGCGCCGGCCCAAGAAGTCAGCGCGGAGCTCTGAGAGTTCATGTCCACGCAGCTTTTTCTTCCTTCTCCTCCTCCTCCTCCTCCTCCTCCTCCTCCCTCTCCTGCGTGTGGCGGCGGCGGTGAAAGGGTTGTCCACGCAGCTTGTTCTTCCAGAAAGGGTGTCCTGAGGGAAGCGGGTCCTGAGTTCTCTTTCGCCGCGCCGTGGGGCTCCCAGAACCTCCCTCGGGCCCCAGAGGATGTCAGGACACGACTTGGGAACCTGTCTTGCCCCCGGAGGTCCTGGACCGTTTCCCCGAGGACAGCTTTCCGTCCCGCATCCGTTTTTGATGGTCCAGGGGCATGGCAACGGGCCCTCTTGAAGTCGCAATTGAGTGTGTGAAAGACTTGTGTCCATATCTACTCCAGCTAGGGGTTTCGGGCTCTCTCCCCCAGAAGCCCGAGGCACACTGGATATGGATAGAAATCAGGCCCCTAGAGGCTCGATTTGTGTCCATATGCAATGCGCCTCGGCCTTGCGGTGCCCCTTGCAAGAAGGCAAAGACGCATTGGATGTGTGTCTGTCTGTCTGTCCGTCTGTCTGTATGTATGTATGTTTGCATGTATGCATGTATGTATGTACGTATGTCTACATATACACATACATATGCACATGCATATAAATATATCATGTACACACATATACGTACACACATACATATGCATATACTATATACATACACAGACATATACACATGCACATACATATGCACATTCAGGTTCATATACACATTACTATACATATACAAACACATACACATATACATATGCATATACATATACCTATACGAATACATATACATATACATGTTTACTGTAGACGAATACGCTGGGCCCCCTCCTGGGGCGTCCTCCACCTCGCTCACATCTCGTGTACGCTCCCGGTACCGCGCTTCCCGGCCCCCCGGGGAGCCCCCACAATGGCCAAAGACAGCCCAAGACGACCCCAAGCAGCCCCCAGAACGTAAACGAATTGCCCAAGACGCTCCCGAGATCTCCCAAGCAAACCAGCATAGCTTTCGGGCGGCTCTCCAGGCTCCCAGGAGGCCTCCAAGAGACCTCAAGAGAGCTCCGAGAGGCCTCCCGAGAGCGCCCGGGGAACCTATAATCGTTAATTCTCATGTTTTTTAAAGTTGTTTGGCCTTCTCACCATTTTATGTTTCCAACGCTCCAAGACGGCCCAAGAGGCCCCCGCCCAAGAGGCCCCCAAGACGGCCCCAAGACGGGCCAAGACGGCCCCAAGACTGCCGAAGAGGCGCCCCGGACACCTCCAGACCACCCCAGAAGAGGCCCAAGATGAGGCCGAGAGCGTTAGGGGGGGGCCGCCAGAGACCTCCGCGAGGACTCCGGGACCCCCAGAGGCCCCCAACACACCCCAGACCCTTGAGAGGCCCCCCAAAAAGCTCCGATGAGGCCCCCAAACCAGCCCAAGAGAGCTTCGAGAGCCGTCCCGAGAGAGCCCGAAGAGGGTAACAACGTTACTTTCCAGTGGTTTTTGTCAATTTGTTTCGCCTTCTCACGTTTTCCGGCTTCAACGCTTCAAGACCGGGGAATGCGAAAAAAGAAGCAGGGACTTTCAAATATTTGTTTCCCACATTCAAAGTGGGGGTCTTGTTTTCTCTGGACACCCCGCGCAGGAACACACAGGAACACACGCTCGCTCACACACAGACCATCTTTATCACCATCATTCGATCACAGACTCACTCACCCGCTCACTCATCATCCTCATCTTCCTCATCATCCTCATCATCATCATCACCATCATCATCCTCAGTCACTCATTCATTCACTCACTCGCTCACCCATTCATTCGCTAGCTTGCGTATGGGGGAAGTATCCAACGGGAGGCTCGTTTGTGAGTGAATTGCGAGGAAGTCTCAGGCGGGGGCCCTCTTCCTATGGAGCCCACGCTTCATGTTTCTAATCCGAGCGGGTCATCCTCGAACCTGTAACTGTCGTCATTCTTGGGCTCCTGGGGCCTGAATATGGGGGAAGTATCAGGCGGGAGGCTCGTTTGTGAGTGAATTGCGATGAAGTCTCAGGCGGGAGCCCTCTCGTTGTGGGCCCACATTTTATGTTTTTTATCCGAGCGGGTCGTCCTCGATTTTGAAATTGTCGTCACTTTTCGGCTCCTGAGGCCTGATTATGAGGGAAGTATCAGGCGGGGGGCTCGTCTGTGAGTGAATTGCGAGGAAGTCTCAGGCGGGGGCCCTCTCCCTATGGGGCCCGCAGTTCAACTATTTAATCCGAGCGGGTCATCGTCGAATTTGTATTTGTCGTCACTTTTGGGCGAGGGAAATATCGGGCGGAAGGCTCGTCTGTGAGTGAATTGCGAGGAAGTCTCAGGAGGGGGCCCTCTCCCTATGGGGCCCGCAGGTCAACTATTTAATCCGAATCAGAGAAACTATGGATTCAGTTTGTGTCGGGGTTTCGGTTTTCTGCTATGCCTGGCGGCCCATAGAGGCCAGACGGATCGCGAGGAGGCGGAGGAGGAGGAGGAGGAGGAGGAGGAGGAGGAGCGGCCATCCGTCGTTGTGGCTCCTCGCGTTTCTCCGGCCTGCCTCTCTCCCCTCCCCCTCCTCCCTCTCTCCCTAAACCCCCCTCCCTCCTCCTCCCCCCGCCCCTCCCCCCGAAATGGGACGAATTACAACCGACTAGTCCCAATTCCAACCGTTCGGAGCGAATTGCAACCATAAATGGGACCAATTACAACCATGGGATCTTCAGAAGTATTGCTTTCTTCTTCAGAAGTGTTTCTTTCTTCTTCAGAAGTACTTCTTTCTTCTTCAGAAGTACTTCGATTCCTTAGGATTCCTTATGATGCCTTAGGATTCCTTAGGATCCTTAGGACTCCTTAGGGTCATTGGGATTCCTTGGGATCCTTAGGAAGATTTGCGAATCCATGGGGGTCCTGAAAAATCCTTAGGGGAAGGGGGCGCTTTGGGGGCCTTCTTGAGTTCGCTTTGGGCCACTCTTAAGGCCCGCTTGGGGCCTTCTTGGAGCCCTCCTGGGGCCCTTATTGATTTTTCTTGGCGCCCAAATGAGCCCTAGAAGGGCCAACTCTCGAGGGCTGCAGGAGGACCAATTTTTGATGTCAATACTACGAAGATTATTACCACTTCGACCTACTGCTACGACTTCTGCTACGACTACTACTGCTACAGCTGACTACTACTACTACTACTACTACTACTACTACTACTACTACTACTACTACTACTACTACTACTACTACTACTACTACTACTACTACTACTACTACTACTACTACTACTACTACTACTACTACTACTACTACTACTACTACTACTACTACTACTACTACTACTACTACTACTACTACTACTACTACTACTACTACTACTACTACTACTACTACTACTTCTACTCCTACTACTACAGCCACTACTCTTCTTTCCTGCTTATACTACTACGCCTACTGCTTTTAATGAAATTATTGTAGTGGCCTTCGGCCAGTGCCGCCGATCCGGGGCGCTCCGACTGATGTGATCCTTCTTCGCCCTCGTCCCTCCTCTCTTTTTCCCTCCCCTCGTCTCATTCAGCATTTATCGAAGACGCCTACGGCGAATCACCGCCGCCCCCTGCCTTTTTGGAAGCGCCTATGTGGCCGAACGTTGAGGCCAGACCTGCCAAGCTATCGGACCACGTGTTCCCCGAATCGGTTTGGAAAGCCTTCGGGGAACACGTGGGCATCTTGAAGGTCATCTTGGCCGTCTTGGAGGCCTCTTGGGCAAGCTTTGGGCGATCTTTGGGGCTTTTTGGGCCGTCTCGGGCCAGCTTCGAGCCAACTTCGGCCATCTTGGTGGGTTCCTGGCACGTCTGAAGCCGTCGGAAGCCGTTTGGGGGGCCTCTATGGGCCGACTTGGGGCCCGCTTGGAATGCTCCAGGGCCGTCTTGGAGGCCATCTTGGGCGTCTGGGAGGCCATCTTGGGCGTGTTGGAGGCCTCTTGGGCCCTCTTGGGGCCCTCTAGGGGCCATCTTGGAGGCCACTTGGGCCATCATGGGGCTCTCTTGGGGGCCTCTTGGGCGATCTTGGGGGCTTCTTGGGCCGTCTTGAGCCGTCGGAGAGCCGAAAAGGCGCAAATGCCAAAATCCTTCAAAAACCAAAGGAAAATCAATGATTTTGGCCTCTTCGGACTCTCCTGGAGGACCTCTTGGAGGCCTCTTGGGCCGTCTGGGAGGCCTCTGGGGGGCCTCTTGGGCCGTCTTGGGCCGTCTTGGACTCTCTTGGGCCGTTTTGGAGGCCGTCTTGGACCATCTCGGGCGGACTTGGAGGCCATCTTGGGCCATCTTCGCGATTTTTTGAGGATGTCCCGAGCGAAACGGCCGTTTTTGGGCATTGACAGATGGATTTTGGGAAATTCGCGGGTGGCCGGCGGGACGGGCCGAAGCCCACTGGGGAGTTCTTTTAGAAAAAGAACCAAAACCAAAACCTGAATCATCCAGCACGCCGTGCACCCCTGCAAGCAGGGGGCGGCGGATCCAGTGGCCGTCGGCCTATCCCGCCACCGTGCGTGGGTGGTGGGTCAGAGGCCTCATG